TATCAACAGCCGAGAAACAAGGGATGAAAACAGGTAGGTAGATGGACGGGGAGAGAAGGAGAAGAAAAAGGGAAGGACAGGAGAGAAGCAGTGGAGGCAGGACGTTCTTGTTCCATTCAGCCTTTAAGACCAGATTTGAGGTAAGTATTTGACTTTGTTAAGAGAACTTTCCATTCTGTTGTTTTTAGGAAACTCTAAACTCTGTTGTTTTTAGGAATCCCTAGGTTAAAAACTGGATAGTTTAAGAATAGGGAGATGGGTTTCCCATTCATTTTGTAGCATCCAGCTTTATAGAGGGAGATATTTAACTCTAGGTTGTATTCTGTTTGGCAGGTTTATTTCTATTTTTGGGCTGATTAGGCATTATATAGGATTTACATTCTTCTAGTTACTTAGGACTTAGTTCTTTGAAACACCTTGTTTGTAAAGAGTTTAACTTCTATATTGTATGTTTATGGTCCTCTATTGTATGTGTTGTTGGGTTTGTGTTGTGTCATTATTAATACATATTTGTTAAACCTGTGCCTGTAAGTACGTATGTGCCTGACTTATTACCATTTTCACCAAAACTGTGCCAGAGAACAAAGAACTCAAGTGTCTCTAATTATACCACCTGCTCAGGAATATTAGCAAAATACTTATAATTTCGTTGGCTATAACTAATTATTTTAGTTATGGATTAACCTGTCTTATAGTCTATTTCAATATTCAATATTTTCAGAAACCCCTATTTGTAACTATATAGAATACAGTATACAGGTTTCATATGGACTGAATTGGATGTTCTTTTTGTGTTCTCTGTCAAGAATGTCTTTGATAGACTGACCTTATCAGATGTACACCAAATTAATTGTTTTGCTATAAACATGAACAAAAATATTTATGCAATTAGAGAAGGACACCATTGTTTGCTATTTTGACTGGTTTAATAAGAGTTTCAGAAAAAAGTCCAGATGAATTCTTGCCATACTCATGCCATCTGTCGATTTGTCATCTAGCCATATGGCCCTGTATTTACTGATAATAACTTTTTAAATATGCATAATCTGGTGTCTCATATCATGGTCCAGAACTATATTTGTCATCTGTATGCAAGGGTGACATAACGAGTTAAGTCTGGTCATCCTCTTTAATCAGACTGTCTTTAAATGCACAACTACATTAATAAAGCACAAATACAGCATTCAACTGACCTTTCAGTTTAAAGCTTGGCAATTAACATTTGTTTTTTAAGACATTCATAACACATTTCTATCTATCGTTTAGGTATATGGCAATTGTGGTGTCTATAACAATTTGAATAGAAATCAGCAACAATGTTTTTTAAACTGGAAAAAATTTAAGTGTAAGAAAAGAAGAATCCCTTGCATTTATATACTGTAGCACTTTTTATTCAAAATCCTTTTACATCTAATATATTCTTTCTTTTTTCACATAATAAACTAAACTTAATGCTATGACAAAGAAACAAAAGACCACTGCTTAATGTTTTCTAATGAGAGGTGACTATTTGGTCCATCTAGCTTGTTTGCGTGTTAGTAGATTAATCTAAAAAACTTATCCAGACTTATCCACTTTATCTTTGAGCTCAGTAGTTTGTTATAGACATTCACAGCCCCTTTTTATAAAAAATGTGCTTTCTTCTCTTACTTTTAAATGCAATTGTTCAAGAGATGGATAAGTACATACTGTACACTAACCTGCAAACTGTGCACTGTTGAGCTATATATCAGTTTTACAATAACTCTTAAAATTCCTATAGCAAACTTAGCATTGACCGATGGAGTGACATGCCTCTCACTGACAAAACCTGTCAAGGTTTCTCCAAGTCAAAGAGAAGGATATCTCTGTTGAACTCCAATATCAACAGGTCTCTGCCAAGTGTGCTGATTCCTGGGGAATTCATACAGATGTTACCCACATTCAAATGGATCATATATATATATACATGTCAGCTCAACATGTATTTATACAATTTTCCTTGAATGATTAATTTAAATAAAATACTTATTGTTTGAAATATCCATTTAGTTTAACTGCAACTAAAATGAAACACAATAACAATGACAGGAATTATTTAGCAACAATGTTAAACACATTTGTACTATACATTTACATTTTTCTCATTGCATGTGTTTGCAAATGACTACTGAGATCAGTATAATTATAGTGTATAAAGGCTTATGAAAATAATTTGCCTAGGAGGCTGCCTAAAACACCCAACTTTTCTCACCCCATCATGAGTCAGATACTAATGCATATTATGAAAAGCAAACATGGAAAACTTGTTTTAAAAAACAGAAAAAGGAAACTACATGAAATGCAGCCATGTGGTTCTAAAACAATTCTATTATTTAATTTGTTTTTTACTTAATGGGATTTGACCAGTTCAAATTACAACTAGTTAATTCAAAATTCCCATTTTATTATTTTTCCTGGCAGGAAATCTTATCTCTAAATGATCATTTGACTTTGACAAAATAAGATTCCCAAAATTATCTGTGCGAAAAAGCACTGCTTCTCCTGTTTGTACTCTTAAAGGGCCCTAAACTTAATATCTACTTGTGTCCAGGTTCTTTTGAGATTTTTATGTTTCTCACTTTGAACACCTGAATCATTGTCTTGTAAAGATTCAATTTAAATAGTTTGTCGAAGTACAGTATGACATTCCTTTCAAGGCAGGAATAAGCGTGCTTACTGTCCTTTGTTGTTCCTCAAGCACAGTAAATAACTTTTTGTCCTTCACCAAAATTGAACACACTATTCCAGGCAAAGTCTATCGATAATATTAATATTTCCACACTAGCTGAAAAAGTGAATTGTCTACAAGATCTCTTTCTTATATATTGATATATTGCTTCTTTCAATTCATCTGATATTTGGTTTGCATACTCTTCCTTCCTGTATATATTATCCACATTACATTTCATTTAAACTGATAGGTGCCTGCACAGACATGAATTTTGTCTAAGTGTTTGAGGATAGCCTGGAAAGAAAAAAAAAACTAAAAAAACAGATCCCTAGAACATCGGCTAAGTCATAACAATAAAGTGTGTTGTTCAGCAGCAAATGAAGACATCTAATAAAACACAATTATTTGCTTTTATGTACTCATGTTGCAGTCACAAATAAAATAATCATGGGAATGTTATCTGGCTTAGAGGCCAGACAGAATACATTTAGAACTCTTTGATAGAAAGTTTGTAACTTAAGTTATCAAAACTTCTACAATACTACAGTATGTGAACATGTAAACAGCCATCACAATAATATTTGTTATGTTCTCATTTGATAACATTGAAAAAGAGTGCTCATGTAATGGTTACTTTGCAAAACAGTACAGAACTTTGATCAATACCTATTCTGGATGTTCCTAAGCCAAAGGTGAAGGAAAAGAAAACAATATGGAGATGACTACATAAATATTGAAAGTGACAAAAGCTGCAAACTTAATTCAATCATGAAATTACAAGATCACTGTTGGAAGAGTTGCTTTTCCATAAATGGATGCACTCAATTTATAAAAGCACTTTTCCCTGTTAGATAATGGACACTGAAGTAGGTACCATCTTATGAAAAGGGTGGCAGAGAAGATTTCCCCATGTACCGTAGTACTACTAAAGTGAAGTGCAGGTTGAGTGCAGTATCCTCTGCATGTTCAAAAAAATATTAAATGAAAGTACAAAAAAATTGCCTAAAGCCCTTTTCTTTTTTTACATGGCTGATATGCATTATTTAGTCGTCAATGCAAATCAATCAAAAGTATAAATAAATTCAATTTTGCACATCTAAATAAAAATAATGTAAAATCTAAATATAGCTTATCCTACCAGGACAATTGTTTAAATCCATTGCAGTAAAATACAAGTGTACAATAAAAAGAAAAGTACTAGTCTTCTATATTATTTAAGAATTATGCACTGCAACAAAGATCGAAATTATGACTATCAATCTATTTTGCAAGCAATATTCACAGAGATAAATCACAAAGTTATTAACACTTATGCCCACGTATATAACGTAGAGTATAGCTTTTTTGCAAGATAGTATAGTACATCTTCTTCTTTAAATGAGTTTCAGTTTAGTGGAGATAAATGAACAGGTAACTTAGCACAGCTAATCAACCTAATGATACAGTACGTCTTAACAAGTAAGAGGAAAACAAAGACTGGAAAAAAAACAAGCAAACCAGAAGAGAGCATGCAAATCTCCACATGTTAATGGTGCCTAAGCCCAAAATCTGATTAAAGTTACATTTGCAGATATTTAAAAGACATATAAACAATGAGGAATTTGAGCACTTCTCTTATTTAAGAAACAAATTCATCAAAAAAGAAATAAAATTGGTAAATCTAACTCACAAAACCAGAAGCAGTATGTTAATGCACAATAAAACCAAGAAAATATATTGTTAATGCCACTAGAGTGCACAGATATTGTAGTGGACAACAGTACCATGGCAGGAAAATTATCTGTCTTCACTGCAGAAAACACTAAAACTTAACTATCAAGTTCTGAGAATCAGCATACAGTATGTGGCAGGTGCAGCAAAGGCAAAGAGCATGTGTCCAAGAAAGATTAAATCTGAAGCACTTACTGTATAAGGGATACTTTGGCTAGCTGAAACCTGGAACTTTTTTTCCTGTCACATCCTATTTCCAATATAGTGAAAATGTTGGAGAATACTGGCTTTGGAAGCTCTTAAAGCATTTTAAGATTCATTTTGTTCTATGCAGTCCAACTTCCTTTCTTTTTCCTTGTAAGAAGATAAAGCTATCCAACATTTAACGGCTTTATCCAATAAAGTGTCACAGGGGAGCCAAAACCTATCCCATCAAGCAATGGACACAAGGCTGGATACGCACTGGGCGGAACTCCAGTCTATCACAGGGTGAAGGATCCCAGTTAATCAGTTTCAACTTCACAAGGGGCTGGTTTGTTCCATGTACGTTTAAAAGGTATATCAATCAACAAAAGTTTCACTGGCTTTCAGGGCTTACCTTTGCATACAGGTCTGTGGTCACTCCAGGCTGCAAACACTTCTGCAACTCGTTGACACGTGATGGTTTTTGACCCTTGCAGCACATGGTCTTCATCACAAGTGAACTGAGCAGTAGCACCAATGCTTAAATTGTAAACAGACAAAAAAATATCAATAAAACAATTCATATTTTAAATGTTGAATGAAATAGCAGCACCGACATTATGTGATAATCCTTTCTTACGTTTCAATATAGCATGAAAGTTGCACAGCTTTCACTTTACAATTCCTAAGGATAATTTTAAAAGTTCACAATGAGAAAAGAGACATTGGTTGAAAATATGAACACAATAACCCCCTACCACCACTAGCGAAATTGCAAATTCAGCTTGAGTGTTTTGAGTGACAAAATGGATGCCATTTTACACCACAGCAAAAACCTTTTACCACCACTGTGTAAAACATCTGTTGTTACCTCGTCTGCTGCATCAGTATTTATATGGCGAACAATATTCAAACTTTCAAAGATTTTAACGTCAGTAAGATACTGTACAAAGCACTTTTCTTGTAGACTTGATTACCTAAAGTCTGAGCCTATCCTTTTGCCATTCTCCGGCTCTCCAGGGTCTGGACAAGAATTGGAAGCCTGTTTAATTCCTCCTTCATTCACTATAAAAAAGAAGAACATACGTTAAATAATATATATAATCTTTACCACACTCTTAACGTCAGGGGGTAGCTACAGCTATCTATAATCTCTAACACTGTATAATTGTCTTTAATCTTATTGCTTTAATACATTAAGACCTTTAAAAGCTCTCAAAATATCAAACATATCTGTAACTTTATATTGTTATTCTACTGCAATATAAAATTGTATTTTAAAGTGGTCACGATAAATGGTGCTGTTTGTTGCTAAAAATAGATAATTTGAAATCACAAAACTAACAATTTCCATCAAAATTATGGTATTATTATTGTAATTATTGTACAGTTATAACTAGAACACTATACAAAATGTACACATTTAATGTCATACTAATATTTTTACTTTAATAATAAGTCAGGAATGTAAAATAACTGAATTTTGCATTTCAAAATAAGTCTTATATCAGTCTAGTTAATATACAGTATTAAAGGTAAGATATATATTTTGTGCCATTATAACTATCTGGGTGATTTGACCTGAGAATTCATGACAGATTATCTCAGTAATACATCTCTTCAGAGAAAAGAAAAAAAAAACTGCTGCAGGCATGAATTTAAAAAGTTGACATAAAGATTATTAATTCTGAGCACTTTCCATCTGAACTAGAAAATGGTTTGTCAGTTTTTATTTTCCCTCTGAATGAACTAATTTAAGTTCTGCACATTAGTATTCTCCACCATGGTGTTAGTGGGACGTTCATAAAGTGCTAATTAAAATGAAGTTCTGACCATGCTTAATTTATAAATTTAGGTTTGGAGGATGCATTGATTAAATTAACAACCATTTAAGAACATGTATATCTACAGTATATATCAGAGTACTGGAGGAGACAAATTGACACAAATAAGAGTTTCTGTCTTTGTCAGCTCAGAATTACTTTACTTCTGCAATAAAGATGCATTTTTACAGAAACCAAAAAAACAGGGGTTTTCCAATTCATTTTGGAACATGGCATTAGTACCGTGATTCTGGGCTGCTAGTACAATTCCTGTGATACTCTACTGTATCTAGTATGAGTGTTATTTGGCCCAATTCCTTCAAGAAGCAAATGCAAAGCTTGGTAACTGTAAAATAGAATTACTGTTAATGATGTCATACTGCCTTAATATATACGAGGACAGCACCTGTTTTTCTTAAGAATTAGATGTTTTACATGATACATGTAAAATGAAATTGTAATATAAGTCCACAACCACAGATGTTGATAAAATAACATTTATAGACAACTAACTGAATTCGTCAACAGAGAAATTAATACTTCACATATGTAGTTAGATGTCAATTTATACTAAGAGGTGGTAGACATATACAGTATGTGAAAAAGCATTTGAAAAGAAAATTTAATATAGTATAAATGTTGGTATTGTACCAATGTTTCCCAAAAATGTAAGGCCTAAAATATATTTTTTTAATAATTGGACCTTTGTTTTTCAACATGTATATCAAACGTGTTTATTTTGTATTTTTATGTTAATTGTTGGCCAGTATCAAATGAATGTTACTCAGAACATAGGTTTGTAATATATGCTAACATATTTTAACAATTTAGTATTCATTTGGTATATTATACATTTATTAAAAGTAGAAGATAATGTTTAACTAAGATTAACTCTTTGGACAGTTGAACTTGACATTCAGCTGTTCAAAATACCAGAATGTATTTTTCACCAGTAACCTTGACATTTGGTTAACAGAATTCAGATTTTGTACAACACAGAAGATTAATGAATAGCCAATTTTCACCTCATTAAAAGGGACATGCATTGAAAAAAACCTGAATTAACTCCCTGCATCTCCGCAGAAAATGTTTGCTTCCCTCTCTGGTAAGACTAATGGGGAAAGGATTATTTCTGTCAGTTTAATTCCAATAATTCTATAGCCATTTAAGTGTCAATTTATGAATGAATCACTTGAGTTTTTTAGAGAAAGTCAATCATTATAATAGAGGTTCACTTATACATGCATAAGAACATCCGTCTGTAGTTTCGGATGAGACGTAAAAAAGACCTGGCCAAATTTCCCCCTGGCCCTTACTTATCATAGTCTCCTAATAATCCCCATCTATGAATTGGCTTTATTACTCTGTTCTCCTCCCCAGTGTTAGCTGATGTGTGGTGAGCGCTCTGGCGCACTATGGCTGCTGTCGCATCATCCAGATGGATGCTGCACATTGGTGGTGGTGGAGGGGAGTCCCCATTACCTGTAAAAGCGCTTTGAGTGGAGCGTCCACAAAAGCACTATATACTGTAAGTGTAAGCAATTATTATTATTAACATAAGAAAAGTTACAAATGAGAGGAGGCCACTCAGCCCACCTAACTCATTTGGTAATGTGCTTATTACTTTATGCTTATGTTTTATATACTGTATATAGTCAGAAGATTCTCAGCACTGAACTGCATTTATATTAAACAACAGTACCTATAAATATATACAGTATACAAAATAGGTGGAGGTTACTGTTATGTTGTGTTTTGATTTTGTTTTTTAATAAAATTATTCCAAATAATAAATAACAAAGGGTCTGTCTGTTTTCTTATACAATATGTAGGTACAGTAAGACAAAGGTCTTGACAATTTAATTAGCAGTTCTGATGCTGCTACTCTGAAACTAATACTCAATACTTTTTACACACCATGTAAGTATTTCCCCCAGTGAACCAAATGCAATTTATAGCAGATACAGATGCCAATTTGATAACCATGTGCATAAAATTGAATCCAGGTTATATTTCAGTGACCAATTAGTTGTGAAAATATTTATTAGGTTCATACTTTACTTTAAAAAAAAGTTTTACAAGAATTAACAACACCAAATGACACAGTCCTAGTTGTAGATATGGATATTTAATATTGTTTATTTTTATAGTGACAGAGAAAAATTGGTAAAATTGACACTACTTCAATATTTATGACTGTGTCAGAAATGTATAATAAACCACATTCTTGCTAATAACATTTCTTTCCCTATCAAGAAGAGAATAATTACCTCCAGGAAAGGCTTCTTGGTATTTAAACTGAAAACACAAATTTTTCTGTTGAAAATAGGTATTTTGACATATTTTTCATTGCCGGATATATTATTTAGCTGTAGACAGGGGGGTGGTAATGCATTTTTTTGCCAATAGATGCTTTACACTCCTATTAAAAAATATCAACATTTGCCATTTATTTTTTATTAAAAGCACTATGATAAAGACTTCATCTTACTGCACATTTCCTTGAACTGTACAGGTAACTCTGCTCTTATATGAAAAGAGAATTAATTCCTGAGTTGCCAATCCCGTAAAACCAATTGCAGAATGTGCCCATACATCCTGGAGGTTCAAATTTCAACTGAATCTTAAGATGTCTGGAAGTATAGCTGATTGTTTCAGACTGCAAAAATAACTCTTGTAACTGGCTTTGCCTTTGTGGGACACAGCAGAATTCAGATACCTGTAGCTTGTATCATATTTTTTGGGGACTATTGTGTTCTATGTAAGATTATTGTTGTGAGTACTGCATAATGGAGAAACATATTAAACAGCAAATATAATTTTATAAAAAGAATTCATGTTCAAGGCTTATGTTTTTATAATGCTGTATTCCAACATAAATGTAACAGTTACATTTTACCAGTTTACCACAGAGTTTACCACAGATCATTAAACATTTAACATTTTCCATTCCTTGAATATAAAACGAGGACATGTTAGTGCTTACTTCAGTCAGATATAACGACAAGAATCAAGAGGATATTTGTAAGATAAATATAAAACACAATAGAATGTCCGATTTAGGTTGTAGCACCATAAAGAAGCAGAAGTACCGTATAGTAAAGAATAGTAAAAGTAGTAAGAAGTGGTAAATAGAAATAATATTAGAAGACATTTTTAGAGTAATTTAGAATTGCAGAACCCGTTATTTAGAAGCCATAAGAAATTAATACTAATAATTCATTTTTTAAGTCGGAAGTATAGTTCTCCTTTTTGAGCTACACATTTAAATTTGATTTTAAATGATAGATGTGTACTGGGTATTTCTTAAAAATATATAAATTATTCTTAGTAGTAGTAGTAACATGGAGTTTTGAACTTAAATTCAATCAGACATTTGAATGTCACATTAATGACAGTTATATCAATATTTCAGGCAAGCGCTTTAAAAAAAACTATGATGATAGAAGCTTTCTTTGATCCAATAGTCAAAATATGTCTCTGATATGTCGTAATATACAGTTGTGAGAAAGTGTTTGTGAACCCTTTGGAATAATCTGGATTTCTGCATGAATGGTTCCTAAAATGTGATCTGATATTCATCTAAGTCATTATAATAAATAAAGACAGTGTTATCCAACAAACAACACGCACAACATTTTACATTGTCATATCTTTATTGAACTCTAGGATAATGACATTTTAAAAAGAGGGTAATTGGAGTCAGGTATTGAAATGCCCTGCCGTATGAAAAAAGTTTTCACTTTAGTCACCTGCTCTTCACAACAGAATTCTGAAGTGCCATATGGCCCGATCAAAAAAGATTATAGAGGAGGAGCTCATAAGACTGGAAAGGGTTACAAAAGGATTTTTAAAGACTTGGGCCTCCATCAATCCAAAGTCAGGCAGATAGTTTACAAATGGAAGAAGTTCTACACCATTGCAACTCTCCATAGGAGTGGGTGTCCTACAAATATCAATGCAAGGGCATGCCGTACAATCTCAAACAGGTGACAAAGATCCCTAGGGTGACAGCTAAGGATCTTCAGGCATCTCTTGGACTTGATAACATTTGTATTAATAAGTCTACCATAAGAAAAACACCGAACAAGATTGGTGTTCATGGCGGCTACCATGGAGGCTCTCCAAAAACACATTGCCCCTCAAGTTTCAGACCACCTGGATGTTCCATAGCACTACTGGAATAATGTTAAGTGAATGTTTGGAGAAAACAAAACACTGACATACAGTACCAGCACCAAA